AACAAGCACATCATCTTTTGAATTGTAGGGAATGTTTCCATTATTTTTTTAAAATCTTTTCACCCATTCTTTAGGATGTAATATATGCCATGGTAAATATACTAATTAATTAATTCCATGGATTAGAATCCTTCTTGGTAAGCTAGTAGTCACTCAGCTACCCAAAGAATGGTTTTGTTTAATGAAATCTGAAGGTTCATTGCCGTGTTCACATGAGCAGACATGGTAAATAGAAATAACAGGAAAATTGATACAGAGACTGACGAATGTGTACCATAAATAAGAAGTGGTTACATTAGGTTTTGTTAGGTAAGTTATCTGCGGTATGACATCTTGTTGTCAGTAGGTTGATTGGAGATTTTATATTGTTTTGGTTATGCACATTCACCAATTTATGTGCACCTCCTCTGAAAATGCACATGTACTATTATCTATTGATAGAGTATTAAGATTTTAGGTACTGTATGTAGAATTCTTATATCTCCTGTAAGCTGTTATACTACAGAATACTGAAATGATAGATCCACAAAGAGAGTCTGATAGTTAGGAGGCTAGAAGAAATTATTTAGGGAGCAAATATGTTATCTTTTCCATGTACTCTAGATGTTTGTATTTGATATTGTTCTATTATTTTAACTTGTGTTGATAAATGCTGTTCCTGGCTGGAGTTTGTGCACTGTGTTAACTGGATATGTTGTTTACAAGTTAAATAGCATGCTGGCTGCAATTCACTGATTATGTTCAGTTTGAATAAACTGTAATTTTCAGCAGAGGAATTCTTGAATGACAACAAAGAAATGTATTTTTAGCTGAGATGACTTTTATTTTTTAAATAGATTGTCATTTCAGTGAATAATTATGCAGTAAAGTACCGTATTTACGCATGTATAGGCCGCACATTTTTTGCCAAAAATTCAAGAGGAAAACTGGGGTGCGGCTTATATTCGAAATATTCGAAATCACACTTCATTTAAAAAAAATTATATTCATCATTTAAAAAAAATTATATTCATAATTGGTAATACAGGGTGTAATACTCCTGAAATAATATTCCAAGAAAATTATTTTTTCTATAATTTCTGTCTGAAAATTGTGCGGCGGCCTATACACGCACGCGGCCTATACATGCGTAAATACGGTATGTATCTTCTTGAGTTGTCATAATTTGTATTATATCATTGTATAATGAGGTATTCCTAAGAATGCAGTTCCTTCTTCACATAAAGTGGGAGCCCTTATATGCTAGTGTGATCCAAAAGTTACTCGAGGCTTTGTATTTTAGAAATATTTTCTTGTGCCAAATTCAGTGGTTTTTCAAAGACATAAATATCCTGGATGTAGTCGTACTAGCAATAGCATTGATGGAAGGCAGTATAATTTTATAATATTTTGACAAGAAACATTTTTTAGAATAGTAATAACAGTGAAACATAAAAATAATACGCCTCTTCTCGAATTTTATGAGGATTTTTTATTTTGCTTGTTAAAATGTGAAAGTACAACCAATCATTGTGATCCACAAAAAAATAAAATGAAGTAAAATTATTCCTTGTCAAATCTTATCAGACTCTTAAAACAGAGAAAGTTTGATACATGCTTTTTAAGCAAATAGGTTCAATATGCTCATATGAACTGCTACAAATTATGGGAGGTAGAAACCAATAAATTCTGTGGTGCACCAAATTTACTTCTGTTTGGCAGCACGTGATATTTGAAGACATCATATGACATAAATCAATCTCACATGTAAGACCATCATGGAAATACATCTGCCTGTGGCTGTATTGCCAGCATGCAGCAAAAGACATTGTTTATGTCAGAATCATCGTCTGAAACTTCTCCGGGAACCCCTTTTGTGTGTCTGTGTGTGTGCACGCGCTTACTTGCTCGCTTGACCGTGAGCAAGTGAGGGAGTGAGTGAGGCATACCTCTACTGTTTTGGCCTCAGACTGCTTATTTATGTTAATCATCAGGCACTGATTTCATGTTGGAAAACATTCATTTCAGCAGCTTCCTAAAAATTGGTATTCTCTTCTCCCTCTTTTGATGTTTACATTTTTATAGAGATCGTTTAACAACGAAGACGCTCCATTCCAAAACTGCTCCTCTGCAATTTCTTCCTAGTTTTCCTTTCATTTTGTATGACATGTTCCCTAATGCCTTGTATCCACTTTTGTTTCTGCCTTCTCTTGGGCGTTTTCTTTCATTTTCATGTTCAAAACCTTCTTTGGTTTTCTCCTTATTCAGTTCTTCAGATGTGCTTCAGCCATCTTATTTTGGTATTTTTTAATTTATATTTCAATATATTTATCTTTAATTTCCCTCTAGTATTTCTGTTTCTTATTCCCGTCCTCCTAATTTCTTCTTCTGTACTTGTTAGAAATATCATCTCAGCTGCTGTTAGTGTGCCAGTATCTGCATTTGACCATGCCTGTGTTTCTGCTCCATATATCTAAATGGCTTTGTAGTAAGTTCTGAATAAACACATGATTCATATCTTTGACATAAAATCTTTACATATTGTAACAATCCTATGAAATTTTACTTCTAAAGTACTTTCATTCAGCTCCCATATAATGATGTCATGTTGTAATGCATGTTTTTTCTTATATTACACTAGCTTGTCCTTCTGTTATTCTTTTTCTTATTTCAATCATTACCATATTGAACACCAGTGAGGATAACATTCTTGTCTAACCCCTCTGGAACTTTGAAATTATCACAATACTTTTGTCATCTATGACCATGCAGTTTCCATATTTGTTATAAATGTTCTTTATTATCTCGTATAGTGCTTTGGAAACATTTGCTGTCTGTAATGGTTTCCAAGTTCCCAGTCTGTTTATATTGACTTTAGTATCCTCTGTATTTCAGTTATTTCTTTTGCTGATTTGTATTATTGTAAGTACATTATCTTGTAGGATATTTGCATTTATGTTTTGAACAGTATCCTCTTTTTTCACCATTATGAATTATATTTGCACCTCTCTGTTCATATTTGAAATAGTTTCTGAAACACAAGGGCTGTGATACCATTGTTTAAACAGTGTGGGAGGTCTAGGAATTCCATATACTGTTTACTGATGCTTCATGTTTGACAGGGTTACAGTGAGTTGCAGGTTTATGATGTTAAGATGGGAGTAGCCAGAGAAATTAATTTCTTTTTACCAAATCATAGCATTTCAGAGTTTAGGCTTTCACAGTGGCTAATTGTTGATATTAATTCAGCTCGTGGGTGTTTACATTGTGTGGATATGGTCACTTTTGTCGATGTTTTGGAGGTATATGTTATTTCAATCTCCATGGTAGCATGTACCATCAAAATGTCTGCAGCACTGCCCACATGCCATAATCACCCAGGAGCTGAATTATTATCAAATCTCAGCATACCAAAATCTGTGACCATTAAGTCAGGAATTATTAATTCTTGTGAAAAATGTCCAGGATTTTAGAACTCAGTAGTGGTTACTTACATGTTGTCTGAACATAATGTGATCTGTTTTTCTTTGTGTCCATGATATATAAACTGCTGCATAATTGTTTTGTAGCCAGCAATGTTCTTAAGTGTGTGACAACATAAGAGAAACAAGCACAGTACCACAATATACTCTGATAGGTGAAACAGATATTGAAAGCTAAATTTTGTATAGCTGTGAGTAAAGTGCATAATAAGAGCTGTATTTTCTAGTGATTTGAAGGGAATAATAGTTCTAGAATGGATGGTGAGTTGTTTGAAACCAGAAAGAATTTACAGCTGTATGTGCTGTGGTTTTATATAATGAGAATGCATAGAGTGCACATGTAAGAAGATAGTATCCATTATGGAACAGTTTTAAAAATACAGAATGATACTGGAGTCTTTTAATACGGTTTCTTATGATACATTTCTTGGGTTGGAAGGCATGAAATTGTGAAAACAAAGATCTAAACAGATGTTTGTATAATCATAGTTTTAGGTTTTGCGGGTTTAATCATGTTTTCTTCTTTTCAACTGTCTTTTGCCACTTTTTTCTCTCTCCTTTTTTTTTAAGTAGGCAAATTGATAAAGGTGAGGGCCAGTAGCCATGACCACAGAACTAATACATTCCTGCTCATAGACTGAATTTGTTTAAAGGGGCCTTATATTCTGCATGTAACAACTTGCCCTTTGTGCAAACAGCACTTTCTGAGCAAGCCACAGAATGAGGGCTAAAATATTAGCAAAACCTAAAGAAGAAAGTGAAGTAGTATCTGGTTGACATAAAATATTTATGTATTTAAACATTAGTTAATGATAATGCCATATCAGAAGATTAGAGGGGATGTTGATATTTTGTCTGAGGTATGTACAGGTATAATCCATGTAAGTTTCAGTGAAGTATCTTAATGAAGGGTACTTCCAAATTGACAGTGTTTTCACTTCTTATATCACCATCTCACATACAGCTTAAAATCGTGAAATTCACTTTGAATTTTAAATCACTGGCACACTACATGTTTGAACCAATATGGTCATCATAAGGTGCTTTCAAATTAATGTTGGAAGCTGCTGCGCTTCTGTCAGTGTATACAATTCCAAATTTTACCCTCCTTCATCGTAACAGCAGCACACAACACAGAGGAGGAATCACCCAGCACTTGCAAATGTACAACACATGAGAGCATAAAAGATGATAAAATTCGGCATTGTATTATACCTTGACAGAAGTGCAGCAGTTTCCAATCTCAGTTTTGAAGCCCCTGATGATAACCATATCGGTTGAAACATGTGGTGTGCCAGTAATTTTAAGATGACAAAATAAGACATGAAAACAAGTGACATGCAACAGAATGCTGCAGTGCAGAATCGAAGACAGTGATTTCATTATTAGTGGCAGCAATATAATGTTATTTGTTTTGACTGAAGGTTTTTCATATGATTCAGTTACATTGTGTGTCAGTTACAGTTGGTAATATTTGTGGCTTAGGGGTGTGCGAGGGAGGGAGCGTGACATGGTGTGTTTGGTTGCAATGCTGCGCAGGGTTGGTATTCCTCCAGTACCGCAACGAGACGAAGCGTGCACTGTTGCCCAATGAGATCACTTCAATCGACACAGTCAAGGCACTGTTTGTTCGATCATTTCCCAAGCAGCTCACCATGGAGTACCTGGACTCACCCCATGTCAAGATTTACATTCATGATTCCTCCAAGGACATGTTCTATGAGCTTGAAGATCTTAGGTTTGTATATCATTAGCTTCTACTCATATTAGCTCTGTGCTAGCTCATTCTTAATTATTTTATCAAAATCTGCTTTCTGACACATAAGTGATGTATTTATAAACAGTTTCTATGTCTTTTTAACATTCTGTCTTTTCTTTATCACATATTTATCATCATGTTTATGGTCAAAGTGTTTACCATAACAATTATCATTAGCAGTTGCTGTCCAGCTTCCCATGTAAAAAGTGACAGCCAGTGACAGTCAGTGCATACCTTATTCTTAATAATTAACTAAATAAGTTCATATCACTTGGAGTTAATTGATTACATTTCTAATGACAGATTTTGGAAATCCCTTCCAGCCTGTGACAGTTGTCCCCTAAAATATGGCCCATGTTGTAATAGAATCTGGTCACAGTATGTAGCTGTACAGAGTCAGTGTGCCAAATGAAGAAATAGGTAACACAACATCATGTTTGTTTCCTGGAGAACTGGAAACCTTCCTGATTGTAACAGATCTATCCCCATCAGGAGTTGTTGAACAGCCTGTGGCACAGATGGAAGGTGCAGAATGGCTGAAACCTCAAGTAGGAACTGTGCCAAATCTGTGAGCTGAATTTTAATTTCATATGCAGTATTACATTTTACTAACTGTTTAAGAATGAGTGAGTTATATGCAAGAAACATATTATTGTAATACAGTCATGTGAATAAGAAGGCAAAGCAATATCACTTACAAATTTGGGTGTGAGAACAGTGGGTCCTTAATATCAGGGAAGGAGAAAAGAATGCAGAGTATTTATCTGTCACATTCTTTGTCAATGAAAATACCAAACATAAATTCTAAATTTTCATAGTAAATATTTTGGAAATAAATCTTGAGTCTTTGTGTAACTTGTTTTAGGTAATGTCAAAATTATACTGTTAGATATTTATTTCATGCTCATGTCAGTACATTTTTAAGGCATTTACATATAGCTGTACTGTACAAAGTCAAGAATTTTGTAAGATATCCCAGTTTTGCACTTCTTTCATTTCAAACACTGTAATTATTTGATTTTATTCAGTCTGTTTTCATAAAGTTATGAAATGAAAGTGTCTCAATCTGATGAAACTAAAACATCCAGACACAAATGAGTAAATCTTATATTGCAAGTGTGGAAAAGTCCACAAGAAAAAAAGTATTTTATTTACAAAGGAAATAATAGGGCTCTGATTTCAGTGAACGTGTCAGGAATTTACTAAGTTTTATGCAATATGTAATGGAACTTCTGTAATATATTGTTGTCTAGGACATTTCTCATATTGTTTCACCATCACCAGCAGTTTTCTTCAGAAGATTGTTCAGTATTGTCAGCAGAGGCTTGGTTATTACATTCAAATCTGTGGTTGGAAGTTTATAGTATGGTGTAAGATTTTGCACTTACTTTTCATCTTCTGTTACACTTGGTTCTCACAATCCTGTTTGATAGAGAAAAACATAAGAAATATCGGTGTTGCAATGTGTGTGTTAAGAAATTTTGCATCAGAAAGTTCCTTGAGCAAAATGGTTGTGTTTCTGTAGGAGTATGAAAAATTTCCATTGAGATCTAAATGTAGTGAGACCCATTTAATTATGAACCATGACTTCTGCTGTGCTGCAGGCAGACATTTCCACTCTTCTGACATACCACAACACTCAACATCTTTGTCCTGGCATCCCTTATTCATGCTCTTCCAGTGGGATGGCTTTGTTATTCCTTCATTGTTTGCTTGCACTGAACACTTCAAGTTATATTTTAGTGTTTATAGTGCCAGTTGTGTTAGAATGATTTGGAACTTAATTTGTTTCCAGATCGCACCTCCGTGACATTCGTGATCGCTCAGTCCTAAGGTTGTTTGAATCTACAGACATGAATGGTGGTGTGCTGCCTGGGGCAGGTGTTGGAGTCATGGCCCCACCCATGTGGGACCAGGATCAGACATATTGGAGTGAGCCTGAGTTTGACTCCGAGTATCAGCACCAGCACATCCACAAAACAAAGGTAGGGATCTGCTGTGCCGTCCTCACGAAGCTGCTATAGATAAATATGTTGCCATACTAGTTTTTTTTTGTTGGGTGATGAGCTGGGCATCTAAAATTGAAGATTTATTTTCGCTGTATTAGTAGAATAAGAGATAATGTCAGCCTCTAACAGTTCAGAATCTTTAAACAAACATGGTTCAAATTATATAGGCTGACAAAGTTTGGGTTGAGCTGGAAACTTGGTGGATCACTCTTATAAACTTGCCTTTCAAGCATTGTGTGAGTAAATTTGCTTACGTCTGCGTAACAGAACTGCAATATGGAGAGGCCAGTGTGGTGATGCTAACAAGGATAAATTCCTAATGTTATATTTTAGCGTCCTGTTGCACTGATTTAAGTCCATGATTTATTTAAACCGTCTTGCAGTGCATACACTTATCTATCTCCTTCTCTCACTCGCACTACATGTTTCGGCATAAAAATGCCATCTTCAGGTGCTTACTCAATCCACGCCAAACTAGTTCATTGCATGCCTTGTCCTCACATTAAAATAACTAAAATATATATGTATCATATACATTGACAAGTGTCAAACGTTAAAAAAACACACATACATACCCAGCAGGCCCAACAGTATAACACACGCAGTCACAGGAGCAAGACACAACAAAAGCACAACACACAGACACACGATAGTGAAGGAGTGCTCCAACAGAGGAGGATGGGCGTGACTGGCGTAGTGAGGCGCGACGTAGTGATGAGGAATCCTGAACAGTTTTAATATTTTTAACATTTGACACTTGTCAGTCTATATGATAGATTTATATTTTAGTTATTTTAATGTGAGGACAAGGCATGCAATGAACTAATTTGGTGNGGAAACTTGGTGGATCACTCTTATAAACTTGCCTTTCAAGCATTGTGTGAGTAAATTTGCTTACGTCTGCGTAACAGAACTGCAATATGGAGAGGCCAGTGTGGTGATGCTAACAAGGATAAATTCCTAATGTTATATTTTAGCGTCCTGTTGCACTGATTTAAGTCCATGATTTATTTAAACCGTCTTGCAGTGCATACACTTATCTATCTCCTTCTCTCACTCGCACTACATGTTTCGGCATAAAAATGCCATCTTCAGGTGCTTACTCAATCCACGCCAAACTAGTTCATTGCATGCCTTGTCCTCACATTAAAATAACTAAAATATATATGTATCATATACATTGACAAGTGTCAAACGTTAAAAAAACACACATACATACCCAGCAGGCCCAACAGTATAACACACGCAGTCACAGGAGCAAGACACAACAAAAGCACAACACACAGACACACGATAGTGAAGGAGTGCTCCAACAGAGGAGGATGGGCGTGACTGGCGTAGTGAGGCGCGACGTAGTGATGAGGAATCCTGAACAGTTTTAATATTTTTAACATTTGACACTTGTCAGTCTATATGATAGATTTATATTTTAGTTATTTTAATGTGAGGACAAGGCATGCAATGAACTAATTTGGTGTGGATTGAGTAAGCACCTGAAGATGGCACTTTTATGCCGAAACATGTAGTGCGAGTGAGAGAAGGAGATAGATAAGTGTATGCACTGCAAGACGGTTTAAATAAATCAAGGATAAATTCATTAGTGTGTAATATGCTGCCTATAAGTAAGTAAACCACAGGGCAAATTGTCCCCAGGCAAGCAAGAGGATGTGGTTAGTGAGTAGTCAGAATCCTGTGTCTGACATTCCTTCAATTAATGTCATGGTCCGATCTCACTGTTGTCGTCGCTGCATCCCCCCCCCACATTACTCCCCTTTTCTATACATCTCCATATGTTGAAGGGCACAAGGAAATAACTGAACTTTATTCAGATTACTGCACCATGTACTTAGACTGTCTGAACCATGATTAATGAGCATTTTACTGCCATCGTTACACAGTCCATATTTTGGATTGGGCATAAATACCAAATATTTTACAAGCAAACTGCTATAACTGCTTAGTGCATTTTTATGAAGTTTGATCTTGTGAAGTATACTAAAAATCTGTTCACTAATTTCAGGTGTTGTTTGCATGAAGACTTGTTTTAAAACATATTTCACAGGTATCTTACAAAATGCTCATTATTGTGAAAATATGTCAAGAAAATCTTTCAAAATTGATTAAATACATATTTTATGTCAAGTTTGTTTCTATAAAATTTAAGGTTTTTGAGAAATTTAAATATACACAAAAGACCGAACTGAAATTGAGATTATACAAGGTGTGGCAATAAAGAAACCGGATTCATGCTCTAACCCTTTATTAAAAAAAAATCAGACAGTCGAAATGTTATCCCCTTCAATGTAGTCCCCTCCTCGATCCCTACACCGCTCCATGCGAATTTTCCACTGTTGGAAGCAGTGCTGCAGGTCATCTTGTGTTATGCTCTTCAAGAGTTGCGTCGCTTTTGCTTTCACTGCATCCACGGACTCGAACCTGGTCCCTTTCAGCGCAGACTTGATTTTTGGGAAGAGAAAAAAGTCGCACGGTGCTAGGTCCGGAGAATACGGTGGATGTTCCATCACTGGAATGTTGTTTTTTGCCAAATACCTCTTCACAGATAGCGCGTTGTNAGCTCAGAAACACGATCCGCTTCTAACAATGGTCGCGGCCAGACTAACCGATGCACGTGAATGAAACTTTGTGTGACGGTAGAGGGAAGTCCAAGGGTCAATGCCCTACCCTCCTCTTCGTCAATGACGTGGCCGGAAATGAGTCATAAAAGTAATCCGGGTTCTTTATTGCCACACCTTTTATATATGATATGTCAGAGGTTGCTAGCATTTTCATATGTTCTTTGCATTGAGCTACCGTTGTGATATGTTTGCACAAAGAGCATTATGTGAATGTGGAATGGGAAGGTTGTATCTGTCTCTCCTTGCCTGTATTCACGTGTTTTGTCTCCAAAACTGCAGAAAATATTTTGATGGAAGTTAGTATTGGAAGTGTAGGTATACTCCTGTAATACAGGCATACTCATAAGTTAAAAGAAGACTCCATTAGTTATCTCAAAAACTCTAAGTTCTAAAAGAAACCAGTCTGTGACATAAAATACAAATTCCAGTTAGATATATTTCAGACATTGCTGGATGGTGTATATTTGAAGAAGTGCAGGAGAATTGAATTATGACTGTGAAGTTTGGTATATGCTAAATAATATGATTAGCTTTGCATTATAAAATTCTCATCTTTACACTTTTGTTATACATTTGTTGTTAAAACACATTGTAAATTTCTTGTGTTACTGTTTTTGGTGGTTACCATATTCATTTTGGCACCTGTTATGTCTCATACCATTTGTCTTTGACTTTTTTGCCATATGTGTTCATGTGTGCCTGCATGTCATGTTTTTTTTATTGCTAGTGGAGTGGGACTAAGTCCCTTGTACTGCGGCCACTTCTGGCCTATTGTACCAGCCCCAGATGATAGGTGAGGGTGATTGTGGAGCAATTGGTGGAATGAAGATTGGCAAGGGAAACTGAAGTGCTCAGATAAAACCTGCCCCAGTGCCACTTTGTAAACCACAAATTCCACTTGACCAGACCCGGGATCGAACCCGGGCCACCGTAGTGAGAAGCCAGTGACTAACCGCTTGAGCTATGGCGCGGCCTGCATGTCGTGTTACTGTCAGCTGTACATCTAAATGGCTTGTCTTGTTACTATTCAATCATCCCTCATGGACCATTCCCATGTACATTTGATGATTTATCACTCTGCTGACAGATGATGACATATCTCGTATATTGAATGCAGTAATTAATATATTCTGGGTAATGCATTTGAAAGGATTGATCTTCACCGGGATTGCTTCCATTTGAGCAAGATGAATAATATTCTATGGAGGGAAAGGGGTTAACATTTTGCCATAATGTTACTTATACCTGTCACAGACCAGAGTGTGCTTTCTCGTAAATGGTCATTATATATGTGCATGTGTGTGTGTGTGCGCATGTGGACACGCGATGATGATTCAGTGTTTTATTTCTACTTGCTATCTTAGCAGCTCTAGGAGACAATTACAGAGTTTGTACTATCACACAAATAGGATGTAGAAGAAAACAGTACATGTTGGACATATGCATATGCATATGTATAAGATATTCTGCTGCATGATAGGTGCACTTCAGGCATAATTTCATAACAGCAATGAATTAAATGAAATACAGTACAAAACACCACATACAGGAAATAAAGAAATCTGCCCACATGTCTCTGATTGACCAACTGATTAGTCAACCCAGCTTGGACATCTCTCCCATCTGGACTCCCATTATCACAGCAGAAGTCAAAATACTACAGCTCTGTCCAGTGTAGATTGATTGGGAAGATATGTATATCTTGTGTTGGTACCGTACGGAGAATTTGTCTTTCCATTGATGACTTCTGTCTTGATAATTCTCTGGTGCAAGGCCTCATACATTTAGATTTTTTAATATTTTAATGTTTTATCTTAGCTCTCGCAGATGGTTTGTGATGTGCTTTTTGTCTTGTATACACTGTCTTCGTGTTGGCACAGGTGTCCAAAGATAGGGACTAGCTCTGTCGATTGGGCCCAACTGAGTAGGTTTTGCCTGAAGACAGAGACAGAACCCAATCTTCGAAACGTTGTGTTTTGAAATATAAACAGGGCGGTGTTTTAGTTTTACTAACAGTTATGGTGCAGAAAGCAGAAGGACATTTATTACATAAGAATGAAGTATGAAAGATGCCAGAGTCTCTTATGTTTTGGACTGGAACTCTGCCACTGGGATGGCATAGTCGGTATAGTGACCGGCTATGGGCTGGATGAGCAAGGGGTCAGAGTTAGAGTGCCAGTAAGGTCAAGAATTTTCTCTTGTCCATGTTGTGCAGACTGGCTCTCGGGTCCACCGAACATCCTAGCCTATGGGTACCAAGGGCTCTTTCCCTGGGGTAAAGCGGCCAGGGCGTGAAGCTGACCACTCCCCCATATGCTTTCATGGTGTAGTGCTTAATTA